TTTCTCAAAATCACATAAAGTCATATTATAACATCGACTGAGATAAAGAATAAAATGAAATATTAAAAACACGATGTATCTCGCTGCATTGCGCGAGTACTCTTCTAGTTATAACTAACGATTATTCTAATTATATTTTAGATTTTTTATATTCTCGTATTTAATTATGTTTATCCATAGTTAGTTACACAAATTCAAAAATAATACTTTAATAAGTTGTATTTATGCACAATTTAATTGTGATTTTAAATTTTAAGTAATATGCATCAATAAACAGTACTTTATGCATAAAATGGTTTTTAATAGTTTTTGTCAAATGATTTATAATATAATATATATTACGATAATAAAATTGGTTTTTAAAAATTAGACTACATAAAATTAATTATTTTTGCTTTCAAATGATTATTAATTACTCTGTGACCATTTACTAAACACATATCAAACAAAAACTTAGAATTTTACCTGGTAAATGAAAAAAAAACCCTTACCTGATAAATGTTTATTGGGTACAAAACGTCTACGGATAATTTATTTTAATGACTGAGAATGTTACTCGATAAAATATGTTTTTGTTCTTATGGTTTGTTAAAAACTGCAAATTTTGTCCCTATGGTTTTGAAATTTTGATTTTCGTCTCTATGGTTTGTAATTCATTTCTATTTTTGTCTCTAAAGCCTAAACACTATTTTTAAATATGAAATACTAAAATAGAAATGAATTGTAAACCATAACGACGAAGAAACCAATAAATTTTAAATCATAAAAACAATAAGATAATGAATAATAAACTATAGGAATGAAAATCATAATTTCAAAACCATAAGGATGAAAACGTAAATTTTCAACAAACCACAGGGACTAAAAAACATAATTTACTCAAAATTTATTTATCTTTCAATATTCAAGAGAATTCTTTAAACTTGGAAAGTTTTGCTAGTTTTCTGTATTTTAGAGAATCTCTCGGAGCAAGATAGAGAACAAAAACACCATGTGTTCTATTTTAGAGTAATTGTTGCGAGATGCTTGATAACTCATTTTTTTTCGAGTTATTATAAATCAGTGTACAATTTAATTTTCAGCATTTATTTTCTTATATATAATTTTCAGCATTTAGGTTATGTTCGTTGTCTGCCCTGCCATAGTTGTTAGTTTTATTTCAATGCAAGTATTTTCTCTAAGTATTTCTTTATAATGTTCTTTTATTTATAGTATGAGTTGATTATTTATTTGATTGTGGGTTTGAGTCAAACTTAGAGCTAGTATGCAACACTTGGGTCTTGTTATCGTTGCTAATTTTTAAGTTCGGTCACTTAAGTCGGGACTTAAACTCGACGGAGATAAGTCGATTACTTTGAAGTGTTAATATTAGGTCTTAGACTCGGAGATGAGCGGATTCGAAATACGGCTTAAGTGATGCACAAAGATTTGAGAAAGTCTTTGATAATCACGTAGAGATACGGGTTTTGCATGATTTGTTAAGATTCAAACTTTGGTCGATTTTTCTATCACAAAGAGATTGGTTAAATCTCGATATTAATCGATCTTGATATATATATATATATATATATATCAATTTAGACAAATCGGCAATATTAAGAATCAATAAACAATAGACACTTTGTGGGCACCGTCTATAAAGATTCACTTTCGAGAGATCGAGGTTTTTATAGACGTTTCTATGATACACAAAGTATTTGAATATTTTGTTACTACGTATATCTTAAGAAAAACTTACACACATATCCATTCTTTAATTAAAAGTTTTTTTAGTCTCTCAAACATTTATGCCAAAAAACCTTGATTTTTACTCACAATTGAAACTTGCTCAAAAAGTTCATAAAACTCTCTGATTCTCACTAGTTTAATCCCTCTGGAAACAATCTCGGTACTACACCACTCTATTACTTGTAGCGACCATAATGTCGGCATGCACTTGCACTGCCAATGTGAAAACTTTGTGCCAACTGTGTGAACACATATGATTCAAAACTATTAGTGTTGTAATAATTTATAGTATATTAGAGCATCTTCAACAACTATGTTATATTATATAATAAAGCAGAAAAACTGAAGAGAAATAATATGAAAATCTTTAATTTAGATAAAAATCTCTAAAACTTTATGTAGAAGAGAGAAATAGTATTTTAATTTCCCCACCAATAAGATGTATTGAAAATAAATGGTTAAGAGAGAAAAATAATATTTTATTATATATAGTTACTGCTGTGATTGCTAAAATAAAGTAGTTGTTGGAGTTAAATGTAAATTTTTAGCGACTTTGAATTTTGATACTCTAGTTTAGTAAAATTATAGCATAACTGTTGTGGATGTTCTTATAAAACATTTAATAGAAAGTATTAGAAACAATATCTATACTATCTTATAAAATATTTGGCTAAAACTCTTAAAAACTCTTAAATCAGTTCATCACTAAACGATTTCATCCCTATCCGATTTCATCTCATATTTGAATTCGTGTAACTAACTGCAGATAAACACAATCAAATACAGGATAAACATCTCATTTTAAATATTAAAATTCTAAAATATAATTAGGATAATCA